TGTATGTAGACTAAAGGTAGATAAGAATCACCAAAGATCAAAGACTGATCAAGTACATAATTCATGTGCGTAAGCCCTCTACAAAATGTGCGTATAACTGGGCATGACTATAGCATATGATTTCCTAAAAGATGTTCAAGAGTACAGTACGTTCTAAACATGATCTTTTGTTGGATGAGTCGTAGCTTAATCTACTGTATAGATATCTTAGGTATACTGGTGAGTGCTGTCTTCTCACGGTCAAGTAAAGTAACACGTTCCATTTCCCTGTTCCATTTGTCTCTGAGGCCTTGTGTATCATATTTATTAACTGAAAGTTAATTGTTATAAAGAAATAATGTAGATTTCCTTTCCTGGACTAATGCAATAAACATTTCCAAAAGTGCAGGGGGCTCTGAAGTACTCAATGCTGCTGGACCATACAGTATTTAGATTTCAGTAAGGGCTATACAGTAATTGCAGATACTGACATTTGGCTGAGGCTGGCAAACCATACCTACTTTTAATTCTCCTTGCAATTCTCCTTTACTTAATTTACTTTTAATTCTGGGTGATCTCAAAAAGTTAGTTCAGTATGTGAAAATGGGTCAAATTGTAATTGTCATGACAAAAGGTACCATATTTAGACATCCAAACCATCTACAGTGGTGCCCCGCTTGACGACGTTAATTTGTTCCAGCGCAATCACTGTAGAGCGAAACCGTCGTCAAACAAAATAAAAAAAAACCAATGAAATGCATTGAAAACCATTCAATGCGTTCCAATGGGATGAATACCTGCTCATCCAGCGAAAATCCTCCATACGGTGACCATTTTCTGGTGCCTGTTAAGCGAAAAATCAGTCCTGAAAACAGTGGGGGGCCATTTTCTTCAGCTGGCGGCCATTTTGAAACCTGACGATCAGCTGTTTGCTGATCGTCGTAAAGCAGAAATCAGTTCTCGAAACAGGGAACCAATCATTGTGAAACAAAAAAAACATTTAAACCAGCATTTTGCGATCGCAAAAGCGATCACAAAAACTTCAACGTTAAGTGGATTCGTTGTAGAGCGGGGTAA